TGCCTTGCAGAATAGGTTAGAAGTTATCTGATATCATCTTGACATACAGCTTTTTGTAGTTCAAATATATAAGAAAATGGAACAAAACTCTAGCAGAAGTGGACTTTAGTAATACCGTTAGGTGTTTTGTTTCTTTCTATCTGTCAGTCTAAGGCATAGGAGTATTGGGGGGAAAAAATGAACTGATAGAGCTCCTTTCATAAACAGTCTTGAATATCCAGAACTAAAGAAAGGTTTTAAAATGTTTGTTTGCCGCATTATCCTGGTCTTTTCTGGGGAAAACTGGAATGGCTTAAATGACCTCTTTCTTAATCTTTAGTGTAACCTGGTCTTTGTACTTAATGATAATACTTGCAGCAGAGTCTTATTAAACTAGACTAATCTGTAGACAAATAGATTGGGTGTAGATTTTTGAACTTCTTTTTTTAGGCAGAGGTAAGGTAACTCCCCAAGTGTATGCTGGGTAAACAGTATTTATCATAACATGTTTTGAAGAGTTAGGGTCCCATTTCACGCTGTAGTTCAAGTTGCAGCTAGCTTCCTTCTTCTAATTATAGTTATTTCATGCCTGTAACGTGTCTCCATTCTGGATAGGCTCTTGATACCAAATCTAGGTCACTTCACTCTTAATGAGTAAAAGCACCAGGCTTGCCTTAAGCATGAAATAGATAAGCCTGGTTCTGTCTTAAAAGTAGACAAATGGCTACTCCCTTGTCTAGTACAGATCTTGTGCACAAGAAGGCTCGTACACCGGGGCACTTCAGTTAGCTTACTATAGTTTATCAAATGTTCCAAGTGATTATAATGCTTGATATATGCTAGATGTACCCATGAGACCTCTGCAGTTCTTTCTCTCTTAGTTCAAAGATGTAATAATATTTGACTTTTTTTAACACCTTCGTATTAAGGAAAACAGATTTTTGTACCACACTTGGCAAGTATTCTGTCTTTATTTATTCCTTGTTGCAACCTTTTTCTCATCTACAGCCCAGGAGTGTTCGCTGGATGATGACAGCATTCTAATCCCAATTGTAGTTGGTGCTGCACTTGCTGGTTTGATTGCCATTATAGTGGTTGCTTACATAATTGGCAGAAGAAAAAGCTATGCTGGATATCAAACTTTGTGAATCTAAATGTGATTCCTGTTCTGATCTCACTCTAAACAAAGCAAGTGCAAGTTCTGAAGTCCAAAAAAGACCCAAAACTTAGGAGTAATTACTAGCCACAGCTAATTGGAGTTGAGAAACAAAGAGAGAATGTTTATCTCAGATGAAGCAGAACTACGTTTTTAGTTTTCCTGCTCTAAGAAGACGGCGTGGGTTTCATAGCTGTTTTGAAGATGTCGAATATTGGATTAATTGCTAGGCTAAGGATTTTATCTTGCAAAAACCCTAAACTGTTTAGGATTTATTTCTTTTTACAAATCACACCCTGAAACCAGAACACATTCTAAACTGATGTGCATTGGGCAACTCCCAGAATAGCATAGAATTTGTACTTGCTTCTCTCCTCTGCGTTCCTTAGTTGTTGTCATAATTGTGGGTTAAGCTGGCAGCATTAGTCACTATGTTGACTCGTATCGTATTTAACAAGGATTGTACGATGCCCAGTAACAACTTTGTTTTTCATATAATTGAACTTTAGGCTGGTGATTAAGTGATCTTTTGAAGTGGCAGCCGTAACTTAGCTTTGTCAGAATTTGAGTAGTTTACTCCTGCCTTGGTGTAGTTTCAGGAATCATTCCTATACAAAATGGGTAGCCTATACTTGCCAAATGGTGGATATATAGGAAGACTTCAGTGCTGTTTTCAAATGCTTTCAAAAAAAAAAAAAAATTACTGTTAGGCACTTATACCTTGGCAATCATCTAAAATACTCAACTGAGGCAGAGTTCTGCTAAATTAATGCAAGCTTTTTTGCTGGCATCAGTTTAAAGGGAATAACCTTTCTAAATATTCCGGAACTTTAAAGTGCACTTAACTTTATATCATACTCTGCATAGAACCGGTCTGTCTTGTTGCTTTGAATGACCATCGTTTAAAGATGCTTTCACTTAATGAGGCAGTATGTGTTGTTGCAGCTTGAGCTGTCTTTAAATCTTCATCATTAATGGTTCTCTGCCAATCAAAATTCACATTATAACTGCCTGCCATTGGCATTCTGAATGTTTAATGTACTTTGTTTGATTGTTTTCTGTGTAGCATTTATTAATGTTAAGAATGCAAAAGCCAAACAAGTCTGAGATGGGCCCACAGCACCTGTTTTTCCTTGCTGTATGGAAAGGATAACTAGCTTAAAAAAATGCAGTGCAACTGGACTGTCCTTAAACTGCAGCTCTGTAGAGACTAACCCTTGCTGCACAACTTTTCTCTGGCCTCCTTTTGCTGTAATACATAGTTTTTACTGCATGGAAAAAAGTCTTTTAGACTTTTAGATAAGTCTGGCTTTTTTGCATATGTCATAACATGAGCTGCCTAAACTAGTTATTTAATGAACATAACATTGTCTTCCCCTTTAGAATGAGTTTAGCCTGCATCAAAGCTGGTTTAGTGTTTTATTAGTGTTTTCTAGGATTGTAGAGATGTCTGTGGCATGTTTGTATACAAATCATAAAACACACTTCTTTCAGTAATTTTTTTTTTTTTGTAAAAACAGTTTATTCTTGACACTAGCCAAGGAAAGAAGTATGGGTGGATAATGCTTACTATAGCTTGTAGTCTACAGCTTGAATTTTGCATCAGTTACTGAAATTCATTTTAATGAAAGTGAGGAACTACTATAAGGTTAATCCTAAAACAGGCTTCAAGACTTCCCATTTTAATTAAAAAAAAAAAGTGGATCTAATGACTTTCATATTAATATATCCTCAAATGCAGAAGTTCATATAGATTTTTAGCAATTTTGTGACTGATGTTCAGTGGCACCAGTTACACGTGCATTTCGGTTAAGGAGTAGTTATCACATGGTATTCATTTGACCACGCAAATTTTTGAACTGTGCACAGTTTCCAAGTGACAATATAGAAGACTAGTGCAAAATGCTCCTGAAATTCAACAATACTAGAAGTATCTTTGCAAAAACCTGTAACTTAATCTTCATTTGCAAGTATATCGGCTCAGAGATTAAAGTACTCCTAGACTGATGTGCAGATAACTGGTTCAAAAAACATCTAAGTTTCACCTGATCGCCTGTTGTTATAAAACCACTAGTTTTCCTGTATGTATTGCTCTGTAGGGAACTGTCAACCTGTTCAACATGTGCTCTAAATAATAAAGATTGTTCTATTTCTTAAGGAAACTTGTTCACATTTTTTAACTGATCTGAAAACAGACATCTTGTACTGTCTTTTTTTAAATAAAATAAACTAAATGAGTAAGGTCAACTTCAATCAGTCTATGGCTGGGATTCTGTTATATAGCTGGTGAAAGTGCTCCTCGAAGGGTTCTCTGCCTGTGTCTTAATGCTTTGTTTTGCAGCACATTCTGAAGTGTGCTTGGGTACAATCCGCTAGCAGAAGACAGCTTGGGAACTAACTGAGACACTGTACGTCTGGTTCATCATTAGAAATTTGCTTGTAAACTTTTTTGTCAACGGTAGCTCCATCCAGACAAGATGCTTTTATGACTGATTTTGCTAGCCATCTTAAATTGGTGTACTGCTGTGAACAGTTCAGTTTCTTCTTGCCGTCGTCGTGGAAAATGAAATTGGTCTCTGCGTTCTGCAAAAGTGGGAAAGCATTAGGGAGCCTTCTGGGAATTGGTTAGTAGCTTCATCCTCTATGGTAGGAGCTGTGTTGATCCTGTCTGTGCTGCCAGTTCTTCTGGTAACAGTACTGCTATATACTTCTTTCTGCATCAAGAGAGACTAGTCTTCCCTGCACCATCTCTGGCCTATCCTGTGAACTCTATGGTCATATGACAAGAGGAAAAAGTGCAGTCTAATCCTGTACCCTTTCTTCTTGAGTCTCGCCTGTACTGCTTATATAATCGTTATCTTAAAGCTACACAAAGTCAAAATAACATTAGCACCTTTCTGAAGTGTAAGCTGAAGTTGGCTGAAGCTTCTTTAATGTGAAGAAAAACACAAATATTTTAATAGGCTCTTGTTAAAGAGTTTACAGCGGGGCTCCTAGGGATGTAAATCAGTCAAAGTGAATTTAAACTGCAGTGGGACTGCAGGCATCGAACTTCTGACAAAGGATCAGTACAAGTCAGCCTGCATGAGTCTGTGACAAAACCTGGAACAAGCAGGAGTTACGCTGTCCTGGAGTACGTGTGAAGACTTTCCCCCCCCCCCCCAAAGCATTACTATTTTTACTGTAATTCTGTCTCCAATATTGTTCTCTCCTGGAGACTTGCAGTGAGTATCTAGACACTGGAAGAGTAGACTTTGTGGTGTACAATAATGATAAATCTACAGTAATGTACAGATACATGGCTTTTCAAGAAAGTCTATCCTGGAATTATGAGTCAGTTATGATGTTTGGGAAGGGGAACTATTGCTGTTTGGGGGGGGGAGGAGGTCAGGGTTTTGTGGATGACTGATATCCTTTTGGGGAAAGGCATAACTTTTAAATAATTAGAGGGAGATTATAATGTTAAATACTTCTACTTAAATGCATATCTCTTTCAGACTTGCCCTTTTTCTATTTAGCTGAAGACTGCAGCCCAGGGGTGAACAACTTAATTGTACCCATAGCAGTAGGAGCCGCTTTGGGAGGATTAGTTGTCCTAGTACTTACTGACTTACTTTGTTGATTACAAGAAATGCTGTAATGCTGGATAGGAGTATTTTTAAAATGGGAAAGTTTATTTAAAAAAAAACTGAACTCAAAAGACAGCTTGCTTGCCGAATCAGGCAAACAGTTTGTTAAAAACAAACCTGGTTAAGAAATGATGCAGAATGTATCGTCGTGGTTTATGTTTGAACCTAACAACTTAGAATATGTTCTATGAACATACTCTATGAATGGTTCATAATTGATAAATTAATTTAAGTTCTTCCAAAATACTACACTTCTAATTTCAGAATATTAAAGATATGCAGTGGCATTACATGAATAAAAATAGTTTTGTTCTGGTCTGTGGATACAGCTTGTGGTGGTGTACAGTTACCAGGTTCTGCATTTGAAGACACTTCTCTGAAGCTTCTAACCATTGTGCAGTAACAATACACGGATAGATGTGTGCCAACAAGGGTGGCAAACTGGAGAGAGGTAAAGGGTGGAATGTTCCTGGTATGAAACTTTAAACCCTTTTTATCCTGGGAATTCCTTGTAACAGTGCCATAGTGCGATGGGTATTGCAGCGATCTCCTTCCTTGAAAGAAGAGAGAAAGGGGATTTCTGTCGCTGCCTGCTGGGCGCCTTTCATCCTTAGCAAGTTCTCATGTTTAGTATTAATGACGCATTATCCAGCATGTAGTAGTTAAATTGTGTACGTTGATCTTCAGTGAACAAAGATGACTGAGACATCAAATGCAGTTCTCTTAATTTAAGATGCTTAAATACTTTCCTCAATAGTCAGAATATTTTGAAATAGCTCACTGAGTAAGGTACATATTTCCTTTCGTCTTTTTTTTTCCCCCCTTCCAGGTGTTGCTCTACTTGGCAGTAGGTGCCTTCAGATTGTCCGAGTTTAGTATTTTCAGGTGCTGAACCTCCATGTGTTGTTTTCTTTCCTCTTAGCCGAAGGCTCTGTATAGCCTTCCGTGAAGGGGGAGTGGCAAGTGTGTACTGGACTGCAGTGAGCTAAATCAAGACAGTAAATTTCCCTTAAGTAAGGCTGATTCAGTTAGAGGCTCAAATGGTTTAAACATTCACTTACAACACTAGCTAGCTTTTGATAAAGCATTGAATGCGTGCATGACACTAATATAAACACAAGCAAAAATTTCATAAGGAGCTCTGCTTTATTAAAAGCATGTTAAGTCAAGCAGCCTGCAGTGTTGAAGCAGTACGCAGACACGGAATGGTATCTGACTAAACATCTCGTCTTGGCACCACGCAGGTGGAGCTCTGCTTTCTTTACGAGCAGGGGAAGAATGCCAAGCCCTGCCTCCCTGTCTAAGGTGTATCACGGGGTTTGAAATTGGTTCCCAGTGTTGTTTGTTAACCCTTGCATGAGTGTTTGTGTCAGCAAGGAGTTCATTGCATATTTTACAACCTGTATTTTAAAAACCACTGTAGCATTACAGCTGTCTTCCCCCCCATATGTCGATTTTGGTAAGGTCTGCATAGTTCTCAGCTGAAACTGATAACCCTTTTCTTGTATTTGGATTGAAAATAAATAAAGTTGCCCACCCAAAGAGAGACTCTTCAAGTGTTTTCCATTCAGTGCTTTCAGCATATGTATCTTGGCTGTCTCTTGTAGTTTTCAGTAAGTTTCTACTTTGTTACGTGGTTTGCTGTCTGTTGTTTCTCTTCATGTCTAGAACCTAGAAAAGTGCTGCTGACTTGAGGGTTTGGAGAGTCACTTGGACAAGACGCTAATATACCAGTCCGTCTTTTTTTGTTGCTATATTGCTGTTAACTCTGAGGTGTGATCAGCTAACTCATGCTCAGACTGCTGTTTTGTCCTCACATTTCTAATTTATCCGAGTGGACTGCTCACTAGAGGAAGATGAAATTAAATGTACAAATCGGAAGAAGTATATTACCAGTACAAGTGATGTGTGTAGCATATATGTTTAAAGAAATCAACCTTTCTATCAATTCTTTACTCAATACTGATCTTCCTTTAGATGTATTATTGTATCTAATATAGTATAAGTTCTCAAAAAAGTCTGTTTGCTCCTTGCTTTATTTGGTTTCTAATGCTTGATTTCCGTTACTAATTTATTCTCCCTTGCTTTTTTTGTTCCTTCTGCAGCTGAAGAATGCTTTGCTGATTCTGACCTGAACTTTCTTATTCCCATCGCAGTGGGCATGGTACTTGGCTTCCTTATCATTCTTGTCTTTGTATCTTATATCATTGGAAGAAGAAAAAGTCGTACTGGCTATCAGTCTGTATAATCTCTTAATTCCGTCTCTGTTGCCACCTTCCCTGCTCTTCTTTTCCCAGACTCCCTTATCTGCCCCTTTAAAAAGAAGAAAAACAAATGAATTAATAGTTTCTTTATTTAAAATAATAATAATTAAAAAAAAAACTTCATGACAGAATAACATGCCATGAGTCTGAAGATGAGTCGCAGAATTACTTGAAGCTACTGTATGATTTTGGAGAAAGTAAGTGTTCTGAGGACCATAGAATTGAGTAGGGTTGATGTGTGTCCACGTGAGAAATGTGATTATTTTGAGTAAAGAAGGCATCTACAAAACTTTTTCTGTTGTTTAATCTTTTCATACAAGAAAATTTCTAGTTGCATACAGCCTATCTCGGATAATGCTAAAGCTAAAACCGTAATTAAAGGTGTGAGTGCTATGTTGAAAGGGACTGTACATGCTATGGGAAAATGCATACCAAGCTCTTAACAGACTTCTGTTGGGCCCTTGGCGCGTGGCTGTTGTCTTCTGTCATTAGCAGCTTGATCTTGTGAATCAGTCTGAATTTCCTATTCCTTCTGAATGTAAAGGTAGTACCTGATCTCATTAATAAACTAACATAACATGAGAAGGACACCTGATTCTTCTAGTAAATTAATTTAACATCAGTATGGAGAAGTTGACTGCTAATGTATGTTAAATAGCTTTGCACTAGCATGGTGTCTCTAATGTCTTTATTCACTCAGATAAGGCTCAGTCCTGGAGAACTTTCACTACTCAGAAAAGCCAACAGTCTGCCAAAGGAAATGTGTCCTGCGCTATTTTGTTTGACTCTGTTTTCCCTTTTGTTCTGAGCTCAGTTGTGAAATGAGGGCAGGAGGCTGGAATTTCACCGGCTGCAGTTTGTCTGAGCTTTGATTCTGTGCACATAAAAGAAACTACACAGCGTTTCAGCGCTGGTCCACGTGAGGCTCAAGAATATCGTGAGAGCTCTCAAAGACTGACTAAGAACACAGATTGTTCAGAGATTCCCGCGGTTCCTTTGGACAGCTTTCATGGGTTAACGGGATCACTGAAAAGCTGTGATCTAGGAATGTGAGTGAAGATATAAACCCAGTCTGTTTTGATAGGATTAATCTGCTTTTAACCTTCTAATTATTGCACGCTCAAACAACAGTTGAATAGCGTAAGAGCACAAAATTTCTAGTATGAGGAATGCTGATCACAAAGCAGAAATTAATATATATATAGTGAAGAAAATGACTTCCAAAGGAATAAGAGCATCTGACTTGTTTGAAGATGCTTTCTTTGTTATTAATGCCATACCTTTTGCAATTCTGTGTTCCGTGTCTAAACTATACCAAAATAGAAGCTAGTCGTTTGTGGTTGTGTTCTGCTTCATTCCCATCAGGTTCATGCTGGCAGGATGAAAGAAGCCTCTTGAGCTCTTTCAACCTCTTTGGACCATCTTGGTTAAAAGCCTTTTGCAGCTAGTGAACCCTGATTTCCAACTGTGGGACAGCTCAAGAGCTGCCAGGTCTGCAGAGAGCTACTGACGGCACACAAAGTTTCTGTCCTCTGCAGCAAGTGTTTACTAAAGCTACTTTAATCTCTTTGTGCATTGAGCCTGTATCTATGTTAAAGCACCTTCAGTAATTCACACGCGCAAAGGAGACAGTCAACACTGATGTTTAAGTAACTCACAATAGCTGTACGTTCAGGGAAGGGAGATTTCTAAAGAGTTAGTTTTGATGTTTGAGAAATACCTGTATGTTCAATTATTCTCATCCTCACTGTGACCAAAGATAAGCTTTACCTGAGTATGACAAAATGATTTTTGTACTGCAAATAGGCTCTTGAACCAAGTTGTCTTTTTTTAGGAGTGTAATTTAACGCTGCTGAGTTGGACTGTGCGCTTTGGTTTTGGTTGTCTTTGGTCTTTTGTGTTGTACCTTTGCTCTCACAATACTTGATTTCCCTGCCAGAGTGGTAAATGGTGAATTGTTTTGAGACTGGCAATTTCTGAGTAACACCTGCTTGTCAGTGTGTTGCTTCTCTGCTGCCAGCAGATGGATTCCATCTATGGTTTCATGCTCAGGTTGCAGATCAAAGTATTTTGCATCACTTTTGCTAGGTTATTTTAGTAAAATGTGGCAATTTCCTAGATGCACATATATATATTTTATACATACATACAAAGTATTATTTTGGGCTTCAATAGAAGTCAAAAATTGAGCCAGCACTTTAAGGTGGTTGTAGCATGAAAAGTGGTGTGTACAATTCTCCAAATCTTGAAATGACTGTACAAATATGCTGAAAGCAGAATATGTGTATGGAAAATAAAGTTAACTATGGTGTTTATAAAGCTTTGTTTTAGTGTAAGTAGACATGCATGCTGCTTCTGAGAGCTTTTCCAATGGGATTGTCAACGTGCCTGGATCTGGATGTTGGTGGGGAAGCAGAAACTTTGGCTTCTAAGCTGTTCATGCATTTACATCCCAATTAGTTGATCTTTCTTTGTTGATTGGATCAAAGCATGGGTCTAGCGGTCTGCTGAAGAACCAGCTGCTTCATGAATCCTTCCAATAGGCAGGTAGGGAATAGACATAAATAAAGCTTTCTCCTGTTGCTAGCTGGAGAGTTGTTAATTTCATGGCCTGAAGCATGAAGGGTCTGGTTTCCTTTCAGGATCCTACAGAAATACAAATGTTTTACAAGAGCTAAGCAATTGGCAGGCGGGGAAGTGTTTGTGGGTTTAACTTATTTCTGATGTCAAAGGAAGAGCTGCTACCCCAGCAGCGTCTTCCTTGGCAGAAGCTGGTTTCTGCTGATCAGAACGTGCCTTTCAGGTAAGTTGTGCAGGCAGAATGATTGTGTTGCCCTAGCTCTATCAGTGTCATACGAGTAACCACATCTGAGCAAAATTATTTCCTAAACTACCTCTGGTTCAGGTTTTTAACAGTTCTTAATAAATAGTTTTTGCCCAATGGTTGGTTGTGATACGTAGTGTATAGTGAGTCTTATTGTACTGGGCTTCTGAACTTTTTGGCCCTAGAAAGTTAACGAAGTGCTCAAACTTCAAGGAGCACATTACATGCTGCTTTGAAATTCAGTCCCGAACTCGCCAGCACAGGGAGCTAAAGTCACAAACTGCATCAGTGTTTTAAGAATGGTACCATAGAGTTAATTTTACCTTAGTCACTTTATTTTTAATACAAAAAAATTACTTTTTAGAGACTTATATAGATCAGGAAATGATGGCAGATGAAGTACCTGGACTAGGATGTAGGACAAACATACCATAATGCTCTTGTTCTGTCGGTAATTTTAGTAAGTGTGCTTTCCAACTAGTACGTTATCCTAAGGTGTCCTGTCCTGCTGTGTTCTCGTAGCTCGTAACATGCAGAGCGTAGTTCATCTCTGTCAAATACGAAGGCTATGTGCTCACGGGCCCGGGAGGGTCAGGCTGCCGGCGCAGCAGAGGTTGCTCAGGTTAGCAGCACCCTGCTCTGACAGGGGTGAGTGTGCTTCACAGGTCTTTGAGGATGATAAACTGGTGACTTCACTAATACCACCATTGACCCCCTAACGATGAAATGACTAAGCATTTCCCTGCGGTTTTCTGCAGCATTATAGCTGTGACCTCTGGAACAGCGAAGAACAGGCCAGAAATATTTGGGGGGGTCTAACACATTTCACTGGCACTTCTGTGCCTGAACAGGGGAGGGGAGCGCCGTCAACCTGCGAACCATGGCAGGGAGAGAAGAGCTCCTTTCACTCGTCCCTGCCTAATAGACTTGAAGAGGATTCCTGGGGCAGAGAGAAGTACTGGAGGGAGGAGGAGGAGGGAGAAATGCATTAATCCTCCCACTTCAGAAAGGAACAGCTGGAAAGGTTCAAGGGCAAATGATTTTCTACATGGCCTTTGCTCCAATGCCTTGGGTGCACTGAACAAGCTGTGTAAAATGCTGCAGTCAAGATGCTCCTGGTGCTGTAGATCCTAGGAGGCGTTTTGAGATCTGCCATTTTCACTTTTTAACTGTGTCATTGCAGGCATAACCCAGAATTTTTGCTGTTTATTATTTTAACAAGAATAGTGCTAATAAACTACTCTCTTGTTAGCTTTTGCCTGAGAAATGCACATAAAACTATGGTAAAGATTAAAATTTAAAGCCAGGAAAAATGCATTCCACAGGGGTCACTCGTAAAAGGCCTTATGAAAATAGTGTTCAGATACCAGAGGGGTTTTTTTTAGTCAAAACTGAAATGCTTCTGCAGGTTTTCCACCCAGGAGATAACTTTTAATTTTTACTAATAATGATTTACATCAGATGATGCAAAATGTGGTTCCACGCTCCGTTGCATCTGATTTGTTTCCTAACTATGAACAAAAATAAATTAACAAAAATCTCCATGTGCCTGGTTTTCCTAGAAGAAAAAATGCTGGCTTTATGCTTTAAAAAGGAAAAAGCCTCTGATTGACTTAACCTAAATGCCCAGTGCTTGTGGTGGCTACTTTCCAATGCTGAGTGTGAAGATGATTCGGCCCAGGAAGCGGTCTCTGTTAACGTCGTTGATAATACCTTTCCCATTCAGACTGCACTGAATAGGGATCAAATAATTTTTCTTCACGTCTGTAAAGTGCATAGCCACCAGCGGGGACGTATAGTTCACCTGGAAAGAAGGGAGATTTAAGTGTAATTTTTGAGGGAGCAAAAAAGCAGGCAGTGCTTTCATGTTCAGTAAAAATCATTAGTAATTGGTTTACGGTTCCCAGGCGTCTGAGTGCGTTTGCCTGATGTCCATCGTGGTCCCTCAGGATGCTGAAGCTGAGCCTTTCTGTCCCTGTGCCTCAGAGGGATGGGATCACGTCGGAGTTTTGCATTGCACTGCGCCTCTTGGGTTGATTAGCCAGGACAAGTAACACCGGATAATGGGACTCTCAAATACTTTCTGCTGTTCTAAAAAATGACCTATGGCTTGTAATAAGAAATCCGTGGTGTTGCTCAGATCTGTGTGCTCAAAGGACATGCAGACCTGGCGTCTGGGGCTGTTACTCATCCCCAGTCAGCAGCAGTATGACAATAGGAGC